ATGAGAGCTTGCCCGAGTTCTGCCTGCTTCACTACCGATCCAGCTGCCCACTAACGGGCTGGGAAAAGCAGCGGCAGATGGTCCAGGTATGTGGGTCCCTGTTGTGCATGTGGAAGGCGTGCAGAAAGCTTGGGGATTGTGGCTTTGGCCCGGCTCAACGCTGGCCGTTCTGGGGAGTGAACCAGTGGATGGAAGATCTCTCCACCTGTCTCTGACTTTCAAAATATGTATATATTTTTTAAAAGAAAGAGATGCTAAAACTCTCAGTGAGAATGGATGAACAGCTCTGAATCCCATAAAAAGCAAGGGATTGTACCCTCTGAAGCGCTGAACTGCATGGGACATGAATGACCAACCACTCTGTGTTGTCACACGCCAGGCAGCCTGACCCTCCAGGGCTTCCTTAGTGTTGGGGACAAATGACCACCTTGAGCTGGCCCCACGGCCATCCGCTGTGCTGGGGCACGCAGTGCAGTGGTGGTTGTGTGTGTGTGTCTTTGTTTTTTTCCAAATCCCTTCTGTGGAATTCCACTCCAGCAGCAATGAGAATGCCACAGCAGGCCCTGTCTTACTGAGGAGTGGTTTACCCAGTGCCTTAGCCCAGGGGCAAAGTCTGAGCCTCCCGCATGGAACAGTGAAAGAGATGGAGGCCCAGAGAGAGGAAGTGATGTGCCCACAACCACCCCGGAAGCTGAATGGCAAAGCCAAAGCCCAAGCCCACCAGGTGGGCGCAGCCCGGACTCTGCACTCCAACGGATGCACCTTTATCCAGACCCAGGCAGGGGTCCAAGGTTCTGCTCAGGATGAAGTCACACCCTACCCCCTTTCCTTCTGTACCAGCGTGGCCAACCCGGCCTCTGCCCCTGGAACCTGGCCATGAAGAGCCGCCAGCCTGCAGGGTACAACGTCACGGACACACACATATGTACCCTGTGTCAGAAGGCCTCCCTGCCACTCGACCAGCCACATGCACCCCCCTCTGTGCCTCTCCCCCACAGAAGCTGGCGTTGCCCTGAACTGGGGGCTGCCCACAACGGGACCCCTGACTGCTCCTCAGCTCCACAGTCAGCATGCACACAACTGTGCAGACTGTGCCTGCAGGCCCCAGGGCCAGGACTCGGCTCTCTAGGGACCCACCCCCAGCTCCACTCCTCTCGACCACAAGGGGCAGAGGGCCCAGGTGGAAGCACGGGGCTCCTGGAACAAGGGGTGCGTGTGGGAGACCCCCGGAGGTCTGTGAGGAGTGGCTGTGCCCGCTGCTGTGCCCACAGCTGCTGTTAACCCAGCAGAAGTCCAAGCGAGCCGCGAGCCCATCTGGAGGAGCCCCTCGGAGCGCTCCCAGACCCTCTGACCTTGCCCGCACACACAAGCCCCGGCCCCCTTTGTCTCAAGGCTTGGGGGAAGGCTACCATCCCTCCCTTTCAGTAGCATCCAAAGGCCAACCAGCCCACAGTTTATTTTCTTAGAAATAATGGTTTTTGCTGGTTAGCATTCCTCAGATGGAAAAACAAATACGGCCACTGTAAAAAGAAGCGGCCAAGAGGAGGCAAGAGGGCTGGGAGCTGGCAGACACGGGGTTGGGGCTGGGGCTGGGGGCAGAGACCCCTGGCCCTGGGAGATGTGGGGATTTAGAGATTAGAGCAGGAACGGCACGCAGGCCCCCGATGCTGCCCCCCACACACTCTGCCGCACGGGAAGGCCGTGGCCTCCGGTCTTCACCGAGGCACCTCACATGCTTGCCATGCATATGAAGACGCGGAGGAAGAAATCACGCTTCAGGACAGCGATGCTGCTCCCAGGGCCAGAGCAGCTGCTTCAAATTCCTGGCCACGAGGGCTTCCACTGAACCTCACAGACCTCCGCACCCCAGGACCTCTGCCTAACTTCTCCCCCTCCTCGGGAGCGGGCACACTCTCATGCCACCACAGCCTTGGCTGTTGCACTTGCCGCACGCCACTGTCCTCACTTCTTTGCCAGTCCATCTCCTATGGGACAGGATATATGTGTACATGGGCCCCAGCACCCATCCTGGCACACAGGAGCTATGGGGGAGCACTCCCCGGGACGTCACTGAATGCTGGCACAGGGCACTTTTTAAGACTCAGGGAGAGACTGACTTGCTTGCGATGCTTATGTGCCAAGAGCGGAAACTTTTCTCCCCCCCTCTAAACACAGACACGGGGCCGCGAGGCCTTGGCCCCGTTGCAGAGCTGGGCCGGCTGTACGCAACGCGACCTAATTGTTGGCTGACAGCAACTGGGAGCTGGCCAGTTCGGTCCTTCGCAGCCGTCCGCCGGGCACCGCAGCGCTGTCCTCTTCGGCTGGGCGCACTTCGGCATGTGTAACTGCGAGTTTTACAACCTGAAAGCCAGGCACCTGCCCTCCACCCCTGCCTTCTGCCACCTTCCCTGGCCTCCCCAGGGGCAGCATCTTCACTAGGCATCGCTGCCATTCCCTAAGAAGGCTGCCTTAATAGGTTGTGAGGTCTGCTTTCAAACTAAGCGGATGGCTGGGTGTGTCATCAGGGGTTTTGTTCAAACGCTTTAATAACAAGCTCTGTAATCTCCTAACCCTGGTGATGGACAGGCCGACCCCGGGGGGATAGGAAATTCAGGAAGTGACTATTTACGTTTGTTACATGCATGTTAATTTGGTGATCTCCGATGGCTGTGAGGCTGTCGTTTTTTTCCCCTTTTCACACCAAAAAAGGATAAGACTCATATATTTGATATACTGTGGCCAAAACAAAGAGTGATTTCCCCCACCCGGAGTTTTAATTATAGCATTTTGGAACAGGCTCAGTTGGAACTTGCCAGTGGAACAAACCACTTGAATAAATGGCCTGCAAAATGAGGTCCTCCTAGAAGGGAGATGCGCGCCCTGGGCCCAGACTAAACAGTGACTACCAGGAGGGTCCTCACCATTAAACAAGCCAGCGGAGGGCGGTTTGCTCCTCGTTCGAGGCCTGGTCCTCATTACAAACCAGAGCTTTTAATTAAGATTAGCGAGACCCAATTCAAGCTATAATTTGGTCCTTTTCCTCAGCAAATGTCTATGAAAACAAGGCAATTAAGGTTACATGAGTTGAAGCATTTAAAAGGGACGCAATGCCCTGGCCTCGCCCCGGCCTGCCCCTTCGGCAAAATGAGCACACACAAGGCCCCGCTAATTCAGACCAGGCAGCCTGTGCCCAAGGAGCCTGGTGAGCTGCAGATGGGCAAGGCTGGCTAAATGACAAGCTGGGATGGCAGGGGTGGGGGAAGAACAGGTTGTGCAAAGGCCCTGAGGTAGGAAGGGTCCACACCACTGCTAGAGGGAGGCAGTCAGGGCTGGGGAGCAGCAGTGGCTCCCAGCGCTGTGCTGAGGGCTGTGCTGGGCTTGGGGCTGCACTGCCCACTGCCTGCATGGTTCCTGGGGTTAACATGCCCATCTCAGAGGAGGCATTCACAACCACAGCTTCAAGATAACGTGTGGCACAGTCCCCTCAGCCCCCTGGTGGTGTCCTACAGCCTCTAACAAGTGGGGAGCCTGCTGAGGCCACACTGCCAGGCACCCACCGAGGCTCTGTCTACGTTCGCACCGCCACCCTCAACAGGACGTGGGCTCCTCGTTCCCTGGCCCCAGGAAAGCAAGGAGGCAGCCAGCGATCCCCACCTGGAGAACCCAGCCCACACCCAGCCTGGCTGCAGGCAAAAGCTCACACTCTCAGATTCCTTTTTTCCATCCCTAAGCCAATGCAGTGGACATGCAGGTGGTCTCCGCACTCCCGCCAGCCACAGCAGATCTCAAAGCCCCAGAAGGTTCTTCAGTGTAGTCCCAGTGCAGCCAGGGGGCAGGGGCTAGATGACTGGGGTCCCAGGGATGTGAGCGCTTGTGTGCAAGTGGGAAAGGGATGCCCTGGGCCCACGGAAGCCTCGCTAGCTCTCACACATGGAGGATTCTGGAGCAAGTGACCATGTAGCTTCCTCTGGTCGGTTCCCATCACTGTAATGCAGCAACTCAGTAGGCCCTGATTCGCGCCGGTGCTGGCCTAAGCCCACCCACAGAGACTCCCCCCACAAAGTGAGCTCAGGGAGGGCGGGGCTGGACTGCATAGCACCCCCCAACCTGAGGCTAGCCCTGAGCGGCTGTCACCATCTCGCGTGAAGCCACTCAGAGGGGCAGGGAGAACAGAAGGTGATGTTGGTGATGATGGCACCATCGCCAGATACTGAGCACACACTTCTAAGCAAGTGTCCCCTGTGTGCTGTGCCAGGCAGGTGCCCAGTGCCCACTGCACACCTCACGCAACCTACAGAGGGAGCTGTGCTGGCAGACACACCCGGAAGGGAAACTGAGGCTCCAAGAGAGCAAGTACCCAAACTGTCCGCTCGGAGATGGGCTGCCCCTGGACGGGCTGCCCCGGGGCCTCCCAAGCAGCAGGCAGCTCAGCCTCACGAGGCAGAGTGAAGGACAAGCCCTCCCCAGCCCTCCCAGCGGCCCGCCTGGTGGACAGGCCAGTGTGCCAGTATGCACCTGATGGCACACATGTGCATGTAAGCATGGCACTGAGTGGAGATGCCCACCCAACGATGCTGAGACCACTCAGCCCCCTGGAAGGCGGTGCTGTGGCTCCTGCCAAATTCTAGCGTGGACAGAAGGCGGGACGCCAGCGGTGCTGAATGGGACATGCAAGGCTGCGGGGTCAACCCCTCACCCTACACCCCAGGGAACAAGGGGGCCTTGAAAAGACGCCACTCCGCTCGGCCTTTCTCCACTCCGCGTCCACTCAGAGGAAAGTGCACATGGCCCATGCTGCACCTCAATTCCTTCGAACACACACAACTCCAAACCCAGATGAGGCTCAGGCACCCCAGGACTCCCACACACGCCCTTGAGGGGGGCAGCCCTGTTTCTGGGAGGCTGGTGGGCTCCCTCCCAGCCGACATGCACGGCAGTGGGGCGGACTCGGAGGGGCCAGCAGCCTTGTCTGCACCAGGGGAGCCGGGCGGGGAACTCACCCTCGCACTGCTTGCCTTCCCCCTTGTAGCCCGGCTTGCACAGGCACTTGTAGGACTTGGGTGTGTTCTGGCAGATGGCATCGATGTGACAGTCATCGGTCCCCTCGGAGCACTCGTCCACATCTACTGCTCCTGCAGGGAAGGGGGGACACAGGGTGTGAGGGGTGCTCCAGGAGGGGCCGGGGAAGCCCTGCCTCCCCCCGCCCCTTGCCGACCCTGGAGCTTAGTGACAGTAACGGCTGCCGTGAGACAGACAGCCACCAGCAGCATCTTTGGGCAGTATCTGTCTCTGCACCAGGCCTGAGGTTACCAACACGCATGGCTCATTTAGTTTCACAAGTGGCTTCTATTCCCACTACAGAGATGGGAAAACCGAGGCTTAAGGACACAACTGGACAAAGCTCTCTATGGTCCACTGCCACTTGCTTCTTTCTAGAATTCGGGGAGCTGGAACGGTCCTGGGGGTCATGTAAATCCCACCCTTTCGGGTGGCAGGCCAGGCTGGATTGGTGAGCAGAAGCCCCCTCAGGAGGCCCTTCACAGGGACCTGAATTGGGGCCCCAGCAGCCTCTTGGTCATGCCCTACCCGCCCTGCCATTGGGCCTTCTGATGCCTCCACCCCCACTACCGTCCCCTCTCCTCTCCAGCTCAGAAATCTAGAAACCAACCTGATTCTTGCGGCCCAGTTTTGAAACTCACACTCGGTTCTAGCTCCTGGCACTCCACATCGCCCGCCCTGTGTCACATGCAGACGGCAGAGCAGACTCCGCCCGTCCGTGAGTGCACTCCCTTCCTTCTCATACACACGGAGTTCAGGCACGGAGGGAAGCCAGGGCAGCACAGAACACTACGCCACACTCGGGGTTAACGCTCAGGCTGCACACCATGGCATGGAGGTCCCACAGGTTCGGCTATAGGGGCTGGCAGCTCATGCGAGGCAGATCAGACCAGGACATCAAGCAAGATTTGCCATCCACCCCGCCCCGTCACCTTCAGCCAGTCATGAGCTCAGAGGCTGGCCAGACACAGGGACACAGGAGGGCAGCACAGGGCACTCGCTGGGGCAGCCTCGAGGGCAGCCACCGTCCCCTGCCTTGTACTCCCCAGGAGCATACAGAAGGACCGCAGCCCTTCATGGCTGGTCCCCAAGAGTGTACACTCTGAACGTCTGGGCCCTAGATCTGCATCTGGGCCTCTCTGAGACTCCTCCACCCCAAGATTCTCCCTCCTCTGTCCCGGCGCCCCAGGCTGCAGCCCATTCTCACTGGGAGACAGACAGCGCAAAGAGGGCAGGGTGACCTGCCCCCAGCCACACACAGGCATGCATGCGTGGCGTCATTTCTCAGAGTGGATGTGCCTTCTTGGGAGGGCAGCCCAGGCCAAAGGCAGGACAGAAAGGGGGCTAGCGGCCAGTTACTGCCGAAGCCAGAGACAGTGACCGGATGACCAGGGGCCGGCAGGACGACAGGCCAGTGGCCAGGGAGGGCTGAAGCCATTCTGAGACAGGACCAGGAAGGGGAGGGGAGGGACAGGGAGAGGGTGGGGTGGGGGAGAGTCTGCAGCTCCGTTCTTGTGCCTCAACCCCCACCCTGGCCAGATGATGGGGCTCTCACCAAGAGGCAAGCTTCCTGAGGACCAGCTGAGACCATCTTCTCCCAACAACACATACTTCACAACCCCCAGGGACCCCAGCCACACTTCCCCTGGCCTGGCTGGGTTCCCCCCCCTTCCCCCCCAGGGCAGCCCAGTGCTCCCACCACAGGCTGCTCTGCTCCCTTGGGAAACCTGGCTTGACCTTCACCGGGGAGGCAGGCGGGGTGAGGGGGCTCCACAGCCACAGAACCTGCAGCAGGCAGGGGCATCCCAGAGCAACAGAGGAGCCGACAGGCAAGGGGGACCAGGACCCAAAGACGGCAAAGACACCCCAGACACACAACCATCAGAGCTGGAGTCAGAAAGCTTGGTTCCAGCCATGGGTGGGGCCCGCCACCTGGTGCCCTCACTGGGGGCAGGGGCATGCTCCCAGGGCCAGGATGGGAGGCAGCAGGATCCCCCCACCCCATCCAGCCCCATCTTGCAACTCCCAGAGAATGGGGGAGCTCCTGGGAAGACAGTCGGGGGAGGGGAGGCAGTGTCTTCAGCCTGGCCCTTTCCCACCACCAGAGATGAGGCACCGGCTGGGGCCCCCACCTGGCATTTGCCGCGGCCCTGACCACAGCGGCTGGCTCCCCACTGACGCCCCTCTCTGGTCTCCCGGCCTCCTCTCCGTTTGTTCATCCTTGTCCATCCGTCTGTCACTTTCCAGGCCTTCCATCCTTCTGCCTCCCTCCTCCGGGCGCCTTGTCGGTGCCCACATCCCACGGCCCTCTTCTCGGACCTGCCTTTCGCCCCCTCCCCTTCCCCACGGGCGTCCCGGGCTCTGCCCAACCTCCCGGGCGGTACCCCTTTTGTCTGTCTGTCCGCCCCTTTTGTCTGTCCCCTTTCCCTGTCCGGTCGGTCCCTCCCTCCTTCGGGGCGTGCGTCCTTTCTCCCTCGCCGAGGGCCCGCGCGCCCCTTTGCACCCCTTTGCGCCCCTCCCGGGGGCGGGCACCCCCCGGCCCAGCCGTGGCGCTCTCTGCTCCCTCTCGCGTTCCTGCTGCGGCCCCGCCGGGCTCCGGAGCCCCGGCCGCCGGGCTGCGGGGGAGACCCGCCCCGTAAGTTACTTTGCCCGATGGTCTGGGCGGGCGCGGGGTCCGAGACCCGGGCGGGCTGCAGTCCTCTCGACGGCGCGCCCGGGTGTGGAGGGGAACCCCTCTTTCCCCGGGGACCCTGCCTGCGGTCGGGCGCTTACCTGGGAGCCCGCTGCCCCCCGCCAGCCGCCCGCGCGCGCCCAGGGCGAGCAGCACGCACAAGTGCCAGCGCACGGCCGCCGCGCCCATGCTCGCTGCGGGCCCGGCCGGGCGTGGGGCGTGCGGCGCGCGGGTCCTACCGGCCGCTGCGCGAGCGCTCCTGGTGCTCGCTGCTCCGCCGGCGCTCGGGCTCCCGAGCCACCGAGCCGGCGCGGCTGACGAGCTGACAGCCGCGCGCCCATTGGGCCGCGGGCGCCGGGGGCAGGGCGGCTCGCGGGGCTGACCAATGGACGCCGCCCGCCGGCCCCCGGGGGAAGGGGCGGGCCGGGGCTGCCGGGCCGCCCCCTCCCCTCGGGCCGGGCGGCAGGTGGGGGGTGGGGGCCGGGGCGGCTGGCGCGGCTCGGGGTGAGCCGGGTGCGCGGTGTCCGGCGGCGCTGGCTGGAGGCTGCCCCCGGCCGGGTGGGTCCCGGCCACCCGTGGCCCCGGCGTCGAGGGTGGACGCCCCTCTGGGGCAGCGCTGTCTGCACCGCCCCGGAGCACACGCGGGAGCAGAGGAGGGGGGCTGCGAGCGGCTCCCGGAGGACCGAGGGGACCCCGCGGCATTCAGCTGTAGCCAGAGCCACGCCGGGGCGCGCGGCCGAGCCGTCGGCGCAGCCACCAGTGGACGCGGGCCCCCGTGGTGGTCGGGACGATCGCTTCCCGCCCCTTCCACGCAGGGGAACTTTCCAGCAGGCCCAGAGGACAATGGCCCGCGCGCGTGGCCGTCCCGGGGCGGGTGCAAGACACACGTCTGGAACACCCCCGGACGCACTGCTGCCCAGGCGGCCCTTCCCGGCGGGCGCAGCCCCTGGGTGGGCTGACCTCGGCTGGCCGGCAGCCTCCGCCGCCCGCGGGTGCGGTGTGGGGCCTGGGTCTCTCTAGGGCCAGTCTCCGCCGCGACGTGGGGTGGTGGCCACGGGGGCAGGGGGAGCATCGCCGTGGGTGCACCGAACCCTGACCGGGCCTGTCGCCCAAGTGCGGTGGGCGCCGCCGCGGAGGCCCCGCCGGACATAAATGGCCCTTCTGAGCTGCAGGCTGGACGCGGGGAGGGAAGGAAGTTCGGTGCGGCCGAGGCCCATCTCCTTGACAACCGGCAGTAAGAGCGCCTTTTTTCTCCGCTCGCAGGGCCCCACTCAAAGACCAGACTTTCCTCTTTTTGTCCACTCGGCCTGCAGCAGTGCGTGTCCAGCCATTCCCCGCACGGCAGCTCCTGCCTTCCCCAACACAGTCACACTGCACGTACCACACACATGCGCACACTAACGCACACACACACTCACACACTCGCCCCTGCACGCGCACAGCTCCACAGCCCACCTCCTCAGCCCCAGACATTGCGCCTCCCTGAAAGCCCACTTCATGTGAGCTTAAGGCACCAGCCTGGGCTCTGGGGCCGTGTGCGGGTGACCAAGCAAGGCCACGCTCCCTCGGCCTTCCACACACGTGCGCGGCTGCTGTCGGCGGAGGGGAGCTGTGCATGTATACGCGGGGGGCAGACCCCGGTGCGGGGTGGCCTGTCAGGCTGTTCTCACCACGAGGCCTTGCCCCAGCAGAGGAACCATGACGGCCACGTGTGCTAGGCATGGCCACTCCCCATGACGCGCACAGAGGGCTTCCCACCTTGCCCTGGTGCAGGGAGAAGGGACGGGGCGGGAGGACGCCGGCTTCCCAGAGATGTGCAGGACGAGGCTTGTGGGCTGTGTCCAGCTGGGAGGTGTGGTCAGGACTCCCAGGACAGGTGGCTTAAAATCAAGCATGAAGAAGAGAACTTGACAGTCAAGGAAGGATAGCTGGACTGAGATCTGCCAGAGCGGGCAAGGAGGAAGTGAAGGAATTAGAGAACGTTCTGGAAGCTCTGTGCAAGCCCTGTGTGTGGGTGGCAGCATCATGACAGGTCTGTTGGCTGGGCCGGTGAGCACCCTAATGCCAGGACTGCAGCTCGGGAGAACGGGGGTCCTTTGAGGGGTACTCGCTGATCCCCACCGCCTCCCTAATGACCTCTCGTGGCACACTGCGCTCCTCCATAGGAGTCCAGGTCCATGCAAGCCACTGGCCAAGACAGGCCACTGGCCAAGACACCTGGCCCTTTGGCGCCCCCTGGTGACACTGTGAGGGAGGACTGCAGCTGCTGAACCTGGACTTGGCGTTGAGCTGGACCTTACCTGCTCGACCTTACCTGCTCGCGAGGCGGCTGGACTCAGTCATGCTCCTGGGGCCTCTGGAGATCTCAGGGTCAGCATGGTGTGGGTTTGCTCCTCAGTCACGTGAGACATGCTTGTGCTGGCTACATCAGATGTTGTCCCCTGAGCGTGCCTGCTGCCCACAGACCTCGGGACACACTGCTGGGGTGTGGGTAGCTACCGGGACCCTCTGCTTGTGGCCATAGACGCTGGTGAGCCAAATGTCCTGCTGTTTAGCTTCCCAAGAAAGGAGGCTCCTTGCTGAAGGAACCACCTGAGAGGTGATCATCTCCTTTCACACTAAGCTTGGATTTGCTCCTTAACACCCCAGGGCTTGCTTGGGGACCCAGTAGGGTCTTCCCCGGCAGCCCCTAAGTGACTCTGGGCCACACAGGCGTGCGGCGTCTCAGGCTGCACACCTGGGTGTGATACTTGTGGTCACTGCCCCTGTCCCATGTCAGGTATCCCTGCCGGGGCCAGCCCTGGGCACCACATCTTGGGCCACTGCCCTCATCTTGTGAGCAGACAGGGACCAAGGCCACCTGTTGGGGGTCACAGGTGGGATGTGAACTGGACTGCCAGGCATGAGGCGGTGTGGGGCGTGCCACGCAGAGGGCAGAGATGGACAGACCCACAGGGCGCCGGCACGGACCTTGCTGAGGCAGGCTTGAGTTAGAATTCTTAAAAGTCCCAGAGCAAGAGCTGGCATGGACTCCACAAGGGGTTGGTGCAGAGATGAAAGGGGCAGGATTGAAGGGGTGGTGGGCATGGGGATGAGGGTAGCACCTCATCCAGGGCCAGGGGCACCTAAGAGCAGCAGGCTGAGGCAGGAGAAGCTGAGGGCCCCAGTCGGGGTGGGCCCAGGCGAGTATCCAAGGATCAGAGGATCTGGGAACTGGGCCTCATCTCCCCCATCCACTTCTAGGCTTCTCTGCTGGCCTTTCCCGAGGCTCTGTCCGTGGACCTGGCGGCCATGGGTCACTTCTAGGTGGGGGTGGGAACACATCTGGAAAAGACCAGCCATTCTCTGGTCTGGCTTAACTCCAGGGCTGTCCACGAAGGAGGGTAGAGGGGAGGGGCACCCTGAGATGGGCAGAGGCAGCCCTCTGTGCTCTGAGCCTCTGGGGCCTCTTGCTGACAGCTTTTATCTTCCAGGAATGCTGCGGGGAGTCAGGGCCGTTGAGGGAGAGCCTGGCCCAGGCCCTGGCCCTCCTCACTCCCCAAGGACAGCTCTACACTCTTGGTGGTGATGTCCCCGGAGCCGCTCACAGTGACAGCGACAGCAGGCATTAGTAGACAGTCACCATCATGCCCATGGCCTTGCTGGGGGCTCTGCTCAGCTCCCCCCCCCCATGCTCCCTGGCTTACAGGCCACAGCTGTGAGGCAGCCCAGGCTCTGGCCGGCCCCAGGTGAAGGGGGTACACACTGAGCAACAGATAGCCTAGGATCTGGCCTCAGGAAGATGGGACTGAGGTGGCCCAGGGGTCAGGCGGCAGGAATGAGGGGTCCTGTGCTCCAGACCCCTGGAGCTCACATTCAGTTCCTCTTGGAATGAGTCGCCCCTAGGGGTTCCAGCTGGAAGAGTAGGCCCACCTTGGCCACAGTGCAGAGCTGGGCAAGCCCTGGGGAGTTTCCAAAGCTGCTTCTGCAAACTAGCAGGGGCGCTGGAGGCCAGGCTGCGGGCGCATCAGCCTAGCGCGAGGAGGCAGGAAGGAGAGCCTCCCCTGAGAACCAGCCATGCACCTCCAGCGCTGGAGGGGCTGGCGCTGGCCCTGGGCCTTGAAGGGCAGAAGGAATGTCAGCCGTCCCCCCTGCCAAGGCTGGGGGATGAGGAAAGGAATGCTCCAGACAGCATCATCCGTTCTCGGAGAGCTAGGGGCTGGCTCTGAGGCCTGCGCATTGTTGTGATAGCAGGAGGGCTGGCGGGGGTGTGGGGGAAGATGTGAGGGTGAAGGTTCACGGAGGAGACAAGTGGGATGTTTGTAGGATGAGAAGGAAGTCAAGAGGAGACTTGGGGACAAGGAGCAGTCCACGTGAAGAGGAGGCCTAGAACATTCTGGACCACAAGGGGCACGGTAGGGTGGGCTGCAGGCAGAGCTGTGCACGTGGAGCTGGCAGTGGTGGGAGGCACAGGCAGGTTCGGAGCTGGGAGACTACAGGGGCAGGCTTGTTTGCTGGAAAGAGCCCTTGGAACTGGGAGTGCACGCTGCCCACAGGGAAGGCACCAGCGGGAAACCCCAGCCCTGAGCCTGTGACCTAGCTCTCGCACAGCCAGCTCCCCGGGGGTTCCTCCTGCTGGGTGTCCAGGGTCTAATCCTTGGGGAAACCCCGCTCTGGGGGAGTCCCCCCTGCCCTGCCCTTGTGGGGTGCGGCTCCCGCTGCCGCCACCTGTGGCGATGCGTGCCCTCAGCCTGGCCCTGTGCACCTGCAGGGCCCGAGCATATTTCCCCACCCCCTCATTTTTCTCAGGCAGTGTCTACCCAGTCTGTTTGAGGAACCGTCTAGCACCTGTTTGATCTCAGATTCAGGCAAAACTACTTTAATGTAAACCCCGGAGGGGAGGGTGGGGGATCTAGCGTGGTGAGCTGCCGAGACCCTGGTCTGACCTGGGAGCCACGGGGATTCAATCCCAGGGGGCTCCCTGTTTTGAGCTAAGGCTGCAAGAACACGCTCTTAGTTCAAGGGCCAACTTGGTCACCCTCTCCTTGCCTCCCCCAGCATGGGACTGGCTCCCGTACTCAGGAGGCAGAGTGGGGGACCCCCGGAGGCAAAGTGTCCTCAGGGAAAGAGCCGAGGAAGGTGGGTGTGTAGGGAGAACAGGGGTGGTCTTCTGTCATTAGTGAGGAAGTGTGGAAGAAGAGGAGGAAGAG